CCCCCCCAAGTCTGCTCTCCACTCAGCAGCCAGAACCATCTTTCCCAAAGCCAAATCGGATCATTTCTCTGCAGCACCCCCCTTTTAAACCTTCCGGTAGTTCCCAGCATGTTCAGAATCAAATCTGGACCCTTGGTCTTGGCCACAAAGCCCCCCGCAGGAGAAGCCCAGCCGCTGTCTCTGACCTTCTCCTCCAGGTCAGACATTGGTCACTCCCCACGGCTCCTCCTGCTCTCCCTTCCCATTCTCGGGCAAGGAAACTGAGGCTCGGGGGTCATCTGGCGGGACATGGCAGAGCCAGGATTCGAACCAGGGTGTAGAGGATATCAGAGTGAGGTAACCTGAAGAGGAATCCAGAAGCTTCTCTAATGGCAGAGGCCTGACAGAGCCCACTGAGACCTGCCCAGACCTTCATCTCAGGACTTCTGGGGGTCAGACCTAACCTCCTCCTCCAGCGGGCCTCCTCCCCTCCCAGCCCCAACAGGGCCAGGGGCCTGAAACTCTAGTCCCTGTGACCGCGGTGCTCAGCACACCCCCACTGTCGCTGTCGCTGCCACTGGCCTCTTAGGCTCCAGGTCTGATATCCATATTCTCCCATGTTCACCAGCCTTTCCTTCTCCAGCACCTTGAGCAGCTCACGCCTCATGCAAACTGTGCCTTTCACATAGGAAGTCATTCCTGGGATGCCTGGGTGGCTTAGTGGGTTAACTGTCTGCCTTCAGCTCAGGTCATGATCCCAGGGTCCTGGGATTTAGCCCTGCGTTGGGCTCCCTGCTCAGTGGGAAGTCTGTTTCTCCCTCTTCCTCTGCTTCTCCCCACTGCTTATGCTCCTTCTCTCTCTGTCTCAAATAAATAGATAAAATCTGGAAAGAGAGAAAGCAAGCAAGAAAGAAAGGGAGAAAGAGAGAGGGGGAGGGAGGGAGGAAGGAAGGAAAGAAAGAAAGGCCACCTCCCTGCTTCCTTGCCAGGACTACTCCAGGGGAACTAGCTATCCCACTTTGCCTGGGCCGGAAGGGGTTTCAGGACATGGCACGTTTGTTGCCAAGGCTGGGAGAAAGTTGGTCACTCCATTCCCACCCTACTCGTCCCTCACGAACTCCGCTCCCCAGTTGAAAGCCAGTCCTGCCCTGCTTTCCCACCCAGCCAGGGCGGATTCTACGAACACAGCAGTCACTGCTTCTCGTGTCACGGAGGGAACCAGGAACTATGTGGGACTCATCCCGGCAGTTCCAGAGTCTAGAAATCACCTGACACACAGAGTGTGTCAATCTGCAGGGATGGAAGGAAAAAGAAGCCTCAATGTTTTCAAATCTAATACAATGATGATTCCAGAAGATACAAATTAAAAAGAACACAGGGAGTGATGTATTTGGCGTTTCAAAAGGTTTGCCATCAGCATGGTTTTAAAGCGTGGGTCACTCCGCTGGTGGGTGCTCCAAGGGGCACAGTCTCTCTGGGGGGCGATTTGTCGACCACCATCAACAGCTCCGGCCCCTGACCTAGCTGTGGCTTGTCTCAAGCCCACCCTGCAGAGGGAGGCGTGTGCACGTAGGACACGTGTGAACCAAGCCTGGAAGTAGCCAGCACGTGCACCAGCAGAGGATGACTGGTGAGTAAATTAAGGACCAACCGCACAACAGAAGGTGATTCAGCTGAAGACAAACGAAGTGGCCAGATCTCTGTCCCTGACCCAGAACAGTCCCCAGGGGGCACAGTGGAGGGACCCAAAGCCAAGTGCAAAACAAAGTGTGTGTTTTCCCTTAGCCATGTAGATGTGAGTGAGTGTTGCGTGTGTCAATGTGAGATGGGGTGTGCAACTGTGTGTGGGTGTGGATGTACATGAGGGCGAGCCCGTCCATGTGAGTGTGTGTGCACGGATGGGCGTGTAGACATTTGTAAGAGTGCATGCAAGGATCTGATGGTGAGTAGGCATGAGCACACATGTTGTGAGTATATGCTGGGTGTGAAGGCACGTCTGTGGGGGGAAGCATGTGGGTATGTGAGTGTGTGCATTTCTGAAGATGCTGTTTATTCACGTGTAAGGCTGTGTGTGTGTGCAAATGTGTGTGTGTGAGCATGTCTGTGAACTAGCATGTACGTGCACTAAGTTGCTCTGGAAGGAATTTCTAGAAACGGGTGGCAGTATTTTCCTTTGGGGAGGGGAGCTGGGAGACCTGGGAGGGCAGGGAAGGGGAGGAACTTTCCTGAATAACTTTTTGTGCAATTTGAATTCTGTTTCCTGGGGACCTAATATCTACTTAAGAAAATAAATAAAATTTGGAACCAAATACAAAATAAAAAGTAGGGGACCCTTTGTGGGGGACAGAGCTCCTCTGAGGGCTCCCTGAATACCAGTCCTCCTACTCCCCCTGATCATTTCTTACCTCTCCCAAGGAACCTGAAAATGTCCTTGAGTCTCTAGGCCTGTGGGACCACCTCCCTAGGCCGAAGGGGACCGGGGAGAGATGCATTCTGTCCACAGCCATCTCTACTCCTAATCCCAGGCTCTGGATAGACAGGCCAGCGTCCCATTGTGGGGATGGTCAGGAGAACGCCGAGACCTTCTACCAGCACCTACCATGGTCTCCCTCTTTCCCGTGGGAAACAGGTAGAAAAGAATCCTTTCACTTTTTTTTAGCAGGTTTCACCAAGATCTGTGATCTTTCTCAGAAGACAATCTAGGTGTTACACCGAGGAAAGAGAACGTGTGATGTTTGCAATGTGTCTGTGAGAAGTTCCTCTCAATCGAGACGTTATGCTTGCTTGCTTTTTTTTTTCTTGGTATTTTTCTTAAGGAATCGGAAA